GCCTGTATTTCCACCTAATAGTTCTCTCTACTCAGTTGGCCACGACATTATCAGCGCCGATTTCTGTGTTTCCCTGGGTCCCTGTAGCTTTTGCCCTGTCAGGCAGTGGCCCTGCTGTTATTGCCTGGCAAGAGATTTCTTCCACAGGTGACTGTGACGGCGCTGAGCACGCCAATACTCACGTGTAGGCGGGTTGGCCGCATCGATGAAGACTTTTTGATTTGATAATGTGGTAAAATATATTGTTACACTGTCATAAAACAAGACATTATGAAGCCATTAACAAATAATATATTTATATTACATACATATATATTACATATATTAAAGAATGTATTTCTGGGGTCAAAGATGGTTGTTAATCCAGGTGATTAATCAAAAAAAAAAAAACCAAGAGTCATTTAGAAATACGTTCAACCAGACAAAACTCTCTCCTATGGGAAGCTGCAACTATGTCTCTAGAGGTGCACCTTACTGATCTTATAGAAGTGTGGGGTTTTTAAAAAATTTACACCAAGTAAAACAAAACAACTCCATTGTCTTTAGTGTTTTAAAAGGAAAAGATTATTTAAAATAAAAATGAAAGTTATGCACCCAGGACAAGTGCTGTTCTGCAAGCTAAGATTCCCTTCATTTTTAGGCCCCTCTGTCTATCCCAGTAATCACTTCAAAGTAATCACTCAGCTTCTGTAGTTTTTAGTTTTTGTAGAAAAATTAGCACAGAAACTATATATTTATGTGCATGTATATATATGTATGTGCACACATGTGTGTGTGTGTGAGTGTGTGTGTGTGTACATTGTCAGTCTATTTTTAATTTTTATTTTTGGTGGAACCAGGGATTGAACTCAGGCCCTTGTGCTTGCCAGGCAAGCATTTACTCTACTGAGCCATCTCCTGAAATTGTAGTCCTGGACTTTTCTAGTTTTACAAACTCTGTAATTAGGCTCAGTCATGCCTTGATGTAGGAAAGCAGCATTTGGTGGACAAAGAGAGTGTGTGATTTGCCCGAGTGGTGTGAAGCTTGTGAATTTTAGGGGCTCTCATCCCCCCTCCCATTTTGGCTCCCTACTCAGATTTGACCGGACTTGGCAGAGAAGCCCAGGGTAGGGCGTGGTAGCCCCTGCCATCAGGGTGCAGAGACCCTTTTATCCACAGACTCGCCGCGCTGGCGACCTTGGACCTTGTTCGATACCCGCTGCTCAACCTCTTCCCAGCCTCCTCCTGGGCCACTGGCCACTCGCTGTGGGTCCCTGCTTCTCATCACAGCTACTTCCTTCAACAGCAGTGGGACCTGGTTGCCAGGGCAACCGTGCGTGCAGCACAGGCCTTGGGTCCTGACCTTTCAATCCGCTTAGTTGGCTTCTCGCTGAGTTCTTGGCTCTCCCCTTTCCTGTGGCTCTGAGCGCACACGGCCACCCATCTGTCTGGCGTTCTCCTGTTTTTTCTTTTCTTTCTCAAGTCCAAGCTGCATAGTGAGACCATATTATATTTGGTACTCCTGGCAGCCTCGTGCAGGCTGCATACGCACTGTTCTTCCACCTGGTTGCACCCTGAGCAGCTATAATTTCTCTCTCTCTGATGCTGTGACTTATTGAGGTTTAGGAGGTCACAGCACTCCCCACCAGCTTTTCACTAAACAGTCACATCCGAGGGTAATCTGTGCCTACGTCATATTTGCTTCATCAGCGACTGCAGAACAGTGTTTCCAATGTTGTCATCCTCTCAGTATTTAGTTAATAGAAACTCTTCTGTTTAAAAAAATCCTATTTTTATCATCAGTCATGGCAGCTTGTGGATCTGGAAATATAAGAAAGATTGGTTCCTATTTGCTGCCATTCGTTGCTGATTTTTCTAAGAAAGCGTTAGTGCCCTAGTTATGTCTGTTTTTGTTGTTGTTGGTGTTCTGTTATTATTGTTGGGGTTTTTGTTTGGGACAGGAACTCATTATGTCGTACAGGCTGACCTTGAACTGTGCAGCCCAGTCTGCCTTTGTCCTCATGGAGATCCTCCTGCCTCAGCTTCCTGTGATTACAGATGTGTGCCACCACATCTGGCTCGCAGCTACTTCTAGTGATGATCAACACTCTTGACCACTGTGAAATTTCTTATCTCTGCTCTTTATTTATTTATTGGTGGTACCAGGAATTGAACTCAGGACCTTGCCCTTGCCAGGCAGGCACTTATTTGACTGAGCCATCTCCCCAGCCTCCCCCCCTTTTTTGTATTTAGGACAGGGTCTGCAGAGTCAACAGGGTCTCATTGTGTAGACTGGACTCGTAGTGATCCTCCTGTTTACAGTCTCCCAAGTGCTGGGATTACGGGCGCGCACCACCACGTCCAGTCTCAATTGCCATCTCAGGGCGCCCCAGGGGTGGGGCCAGCACAGCAGTTCTGGGGATCGAACTCCTGGCCCCTGCATCTGCCTAGGAAGGCGCTTTAATCCACTGAGCTATTTGACCAGCCCCTCTCTGCTCTTAATGAATCTATCTGCTGGATGCCGGGAGGCACTGCTGTGACACATGGAAATGGTCTCTTCTTGTCTTCCTGTGGCTGTGAATTCTCACTTTATTCCTATTTGCTTATTCATTTAGGTTCCAGAAATTGAATCCAAGGCCTCTGTACTGAGCTGCACTCCCAGTCCTTTTTAAAAAAATTTTGAGACAGAGTCTTGCTGTGCTGCTAAATTGCCCAAAGTAGGCTCAAACTCACTCTTGCCTCAGCATCCTAGAGCACTGGGGTTAGAGGGTGTCCTATCGTGCTTGCTCACTCCTGCTCACTCTTTCTTTCTCTTTTTCAAATTATATTTGGTCCAGGGTCTCACTATGCAGCTTGGACTCGCAGTGATCCTCCTGTTTCCAGCCTCCCCAGTGTTGGGATTACAGGTGTGCACCACTGTGCCCTGTCCAGGTAGCTGGCTCAGCGTGCCCAGGGGTAGGGTTGGTGCAGCGTGTGGAGCTGGGGATCGAACCCCAGTCCCTGCACTTGGCTAAGTAGGTGCTTAGTCTGCTGAGCTATCTCACCAGCCCTTTGCACTTTCAATCTCAGTTCAGTCTTGTTCTTTTGCCTTTGTCCTGGACAAGACTAGTGGTGCATTCCAGCAGCAGCCCTCTGACACCAGCTGCCTGTTTGCAAGTCGGGCTAGACTCTGGCTCCTGGAGCTGTGCAGACCCCACAGGCCTAAAAGCAAGAGCTCCGTCAGGTCATTTGCATCAGCCACCAGCCACAAGGGGGCGCCCCAGGCTACTTGCCCCTTTGTTTCATTTGGCTGCAAATTTAGGGTTTCTCATGGTGAGTTTTCATATTCAATAACTCGCAGGGATGACTCACGGGAGGGAGCTGTGCTAACAATCACCATTTTATTAGAAAGGATATAAGTGAGCAACACATAGGAGAAGAGGTACATAGAGCCCTGAGGGCAGGAGCTTCTGTCTCCATGGAGACGGGACTCCGCTATTTTCCTAAAGAGATGCTGGGGAGGTTAGCAACACGAATGTTCTCAAACCAGAGTCATCATCCAGAGTCTTTCTTTCCTTTCATTTTATTTCTTTCCTTCTTTCTTGTTTTGGTAATTGGGGCCCCATCATTCCAGCACAACTGATTAAATCATTGGCCATGATTGAACTTCATCTCCAACCCCCCTTTCCTCCCTGCAGCTTTTGGGGGCAGGACCGAAAGTCCTTCCCTGGAAATGCCTCGTGGGCCCACACCATCACCTTGTTAGTTCTATCACAGGGATGTCAAAAGGGGCTCGTTAGGAAGATAAAAAATGCTTGGGCCAGGAAACGCCATGGGTTTTAAGGTCATGTGTTAGGAACTGGGCAGAAAGGCCAGATATGTTCTTTATTCTTATAGAAGCAATGAAAATAAAACCCTAAGTCAGGGCTTCTGAGGTTAAGGCACTCGGACCTCCAAGTATCTGAAGCTAGAGGCTGAGGAAAGAGCTTTTAGGTTAGGGAGACCCTGCTGGGTGGAAGGCAGGCAGTGGGCTAAGCTAGGCAAAGCAACCATTGCCAGACAAGCCTCTGGGGCCCACAGGCAGAAGGAGGTGGCTGGCTCCCTGCTGGGGCCTTCTTCCTGGGCAGGAGGAGCAGGGTTTGTGCACAGAAGGGAAGAAAAGAAGAGGCAGGCGGAAGAGGAGACGGAAGATTCTGAGACCAAGTTCAGAGTGCTGGGCGCCGGAGGCCGAGTGAGGGCCTCGCGTGGGGAACACAGCGAGTTGTGAGATTGAAAGGAAAGCGGGCGGGGTGTCTGGGAGGACAGAAGCAGGCACGGGAGCTGGTGCCCTCAGCGCTGCAGGACAGCAGCTGCTCTCGCGGGCAGGTCTCGCCCAGGGCAGGGGCTCCGGGAAGGGCTTTGCCGTCCTGGCTTCCATGACATCTGAGAAGTGAGGGAAGAGGAGGTGGGAACAGCGCGTCAGGGTGTGTATGTGCGTGCGTGCGTGCGTGCGTGCGTGTGCGTGTGTGTGGTGGAGCTCGGGTCTCCTTTGTGGGATGACCTTTGGGAGCAGCCGGTGGCCGAGCTCTGGCTGTTTCTTCCAGCACTGCTATCCCAGGAAATGACTTCTGTCTGACGGGATCTGAATGGCCACAGGATCGATCCTAGCACCACTGCTTCGTGGGCCTTGCATCGTCTAGAGAGAAGCGACATTCCCTAAGCGGTGCTGACTTCAGGTGCACAGAATGCAGCCCCCCTTGCCCTCAAGTTGGGGGTTGCATCTGGGAAGGAAACTGCAGCCGCAGACCCTGTTCTGGATGTTTTTTCAACAGTGCCGGTCTTGATGGGTGGGCTGAACCCATGGTTGAAGGCAGAGGGGCTTGTCTGAAGGAGGGGTCCTCGCCTGAGGACACTGGTGCTCCCCAGATTACGTGAGACAATTCCTTGACATTTTTTGTTTGTTTTGATTTGGGGATTGAATGTCAAAATGTTAAAGTTTAAAGCAGGGTCTCACTGAGTTGAGCCAAACATGTGATCCTGCTGCCTCAGCCCCTCATTGAGACATGAGGCTTGGGATCAATGTCCTACAATGTGCAGGAGACGCTTCTACGCAGAGAAGCATCTGGCCTCAAATGTCAAGAGTCCCAGCCTGAGAAAGCCTGCTTTAAAGAAAGAAGCTGGGGGTGTGAGCGAAGGGACCAGAGTCCCGGATGGGGATGCACCATGGTGGGGTGCCCAGGGGCTGCCTGGCAGGAGGGGGACCCCAGGAGGGGGTGGCCGGGAGTCTCGAGTGACCGACCCAATCCATATCCACGGTCATTGTCATGCCCTCTCTGCAGCCACACAGTAATTCATTCTAGGAGGTGAAGTGGAAGAATTCCTGCGTGAAGCGTCTGATAAAATCCCTGTGCTCTGGTCCTGCCGATCTTTCCCCCTTCTGTTCATCCTGCCTGGGTTCACCGTCTGGAGGTGCTGCTGCTGCAGTGTGGGCCATGAGTACCAAAGCCACCAACTAAGGAATGTGACGCCAAAGCCCACAGCCAGAAAGAGCCAGGTCTCCGATGCCAGGGGACCCTGAGACCAAAGACACACCTCAGCATCCTCACAGTGCCCATCCCATGCCCAGTGAAGCACAAGCAGCCCCATGTGTTGTTACTGCGGCTGATGCTGGGGACCCTTCCGTCCTGGAGAAAGCTCCACTTCCCTGCAGCGTGAGTCCTGGGGTCTCGGCCTCAGGATCACTTGTAACAGATTAGGGGAGGGGAGCCATTGTTTCAGCAACGATCACTTCAGTTTTTTGTTCTTTGAATTATTCAGCATGGTCGTAGCAGGAGAAATTCTCGAGTCAAGCCTGCTGTGAAGCGGTGTGCGGGTCAGGCCTCTTTTAGAGCACTTACTGGTACTTTCCACGGCTGGACAGAGTTCCCCATGCCATCCCTGAAGCAGAGGGAGGAAAACCATTCCTTCGCTTCTTTTGCCAGAAGGTGCCAACACCAGCGGTCCCCACCACCCACATCACCAGTGGGTTCGGCTGGATCCAAGATTATGGGCCTAAGAGAGAGATTAGAAGGAATTAGAGTTCTTCCAAATTTATGGCTTCCGCAATAAAACAAAGCATCCTTATATCTGAGCTGTCACTAATTCAAATATACTCAATTTCAAAGTTTTGAAAGCTCCAAGCGAAGCATGAAGAACAATGTTGCCAAGTAGGTCCTAGCCTGTGGGGGCTTCCCAGGGGGCCTTGCTTTCTCATTTCTCTGCTGTGTTCCTTTCTGCCTTCCATCCTTTTCATTTCCTGCTGGAGGTGCTGGGCCTGGGTGCTGAGATTCCTTACAGGTTCCAGGCAGATCAAAGCTGATCTAAACTAGAGGTGACAGGGCACCTGTGAGTTAGCTCAGTTGTTTAAGCACCTGCTTCAAGTCAGGCTTAGAGGGCTGCAGTTTGATCCCCAGCTCTACATGCCTTACCAGGCCTCAACTTAAGGCAGCCTGAGCCAGCCCCACCTTCTCCCCCCAAAATCCTTGTAAACTACAGATGGTGCATGCATCTTCCAACATTCTGGAACCTGGAAGGGCAAGAGTTTTAAGCCCATTCTGGGTAATTTAGTGTCTTAGCAAGACTCTGTCTAGAAATAATTCTTTTTTAAAGGCCTAGGGACACTGTGCAGGTTCTGGGTTAAACTTGCAGCACTGTAAGTCCTCGACTTAGAAACACTGAGCTGTGAGTTCTCACAGGTATGAACGGACCTCACCTTATGCACATTCTTAAATGTGAAGAGATCGCAGAAGTAGCCTTCAAGTTTTACTGTAAGGTAACCGTACAAGTAAAACTAGCTAATTCACGGTATTTATGTATGTTTTTATGCTTTTCATTATACATTTATGTTAAAGGTGGATGAGACTCACTTTTTTGGGTTTACAAATGAGTCCGACTTATGAACTGTCCTGAACAGCACTTCCTCCACTCCCTCGGCTTTCTCCCCAGAGACACTCAGCTGTCCTATGGCTACCGTGGCCCTGACCCCAGCTTCATGTCAGGTGTGACTCAGGCAGGAGCCAGGGAGGTCCTGGCCACTGATCCCATGTAGAAGGAAACAAGACTATGTCAGAAGAGCAGGCCGGGGTCAGAGCACCTGGTCCTTTGGAGCTGGGCCAGCAGGAACTGCCTTGTCGTCTCATCTTGGAAGTTGTAATTGTCGGTCCAGTAGATGGAGAGCTGCTGATACTTTGTGACCAGCTCCAGGACCGTCCGGAAACCTTCTGCAGTGCTGAAATCTTCCATCCCATTGCCCTGCTGCCAGGCATAGATGGTGAGCAGCTCCAGGGCGTACTTTGGGGGCAGGGATCCCTTTGGCTTCATTTTCTTTTCACACTGAATAAAGAGTGGGGCATGAGATGGCCTCAGTAAGGGAGAGGACAGGGGAAGGATGGATCCTGTGCTTGCTGTCATCATGAGAGGCTCAGAAACAACCCCGTGTGCTGGCGCAGAGCAGGGCTCCCCATGGGCGATGCTGCCCCAGCCCACCTGAGCTTGGCCTGACTTCTGGGGAGACAGCACGGGCTTTGGTCACCAAGAGCAAGCAGTGGGCAGCCCATCTGGGCACCCTGATAAGCTGTTGGGCCAAATAAGCCACATATAGCAGCTTGGATGGTAGGGGGTACTGAACACCTCACCCAAATAAAGGGGTTTGGTGGTGGGGGTGCTATAGAGATACGCAGGGTTGGACGTTCGCAGGTTCCCGAAAGTGGCCCAGCCTGCAGCTTGGGAGAATTTGGGCATGAAGGGCATGTGATACATGCGGGCTCTGTGGGGACCCCTTACCGGTAAGTCCGATAACCAGATGGCCATACCTGTTTATACCAGTATTTTACCAGGCGAATGCAGCTCTTCAGTTTGGTGGGCTGGGAAAGAATGAAGTCGCGCTGGAGCTCTGTGAAACAGGTAGAAAACTCTCCCCCGATGATGTCTGAAGATCTGTACACATTGATGAGCTCTTCATAGGCCCAAAGGGTGGACTTTCCTGGACCTGGCATGGAGGAGATATTTACATTATACCTTTAAGAAAAATCTTTTATTGATTTATTTGGTACAGGGTCTCGCTACGCAGCTTGGACTCATAGTGATCTTCCTGTCTCAGCCTTCCCAGCGCTGGGATAACAGGTGTGCGCCACCATGCCCAGGACTCGATGGCCAACACAGGTACGCCCAGGTTCCAGGGCCAGCACAGCATGCAGTACTGGGGATCAAACCCAGGTCCTTGCTCTTGCCAGATAGGTGCCTAGACTGCCGAGCTATCTCCATGGCCCTATATCTTAAGATATATACTCATTAACAAGTTTCAAACATTCTTGGGGGCTGGGGAGATAGCTCAGTAGAATAAACACTTGGCTGGCAAACTCAAGGGCCTGAGTTCATTCCCCGGTTCCACCAAAAAAAAAAAAAATTCTTGGTAAATAAATTTAATTTTGGGACATTTATTGGAATCACACTTGTATAATTGAATTTCTAACACCTAAGATACGAGAGTCATCTTCAGAGCAATAAATTTTTTTTAAAGCATATAGTCTATGTGAATGTATATGCTGTTGTTAAAGTAGGTTTGTGCCTGTTCTGTCTGTCTGATATGGAAGCTGTCAGTTATGGAAGCTATTTGCATTTGGTTCCACTAAAAGGAAATAAGATGAAGCTCTAGTTCCTCCGTTGCACTCAGCATCTCGCATGCTCAGCCAATACAGAACACAGGTATGGAAGATTGTCCTTAGCGCAGGAAGACCCCTCGGTACCCGTCTCTCCAGCTCACCAGCTATGACCCTGGGTGACATCTGGTGCCCTGCTTATTTCAGACAACCAAGGTTTAGTGGTGCACCACCACAGCATTGGTTCGTGTGCTGCGCGTGGCTTGCATCCACAGCAGTGGTTGAGCAGTCGTGATAAATAATACCATCTGGTCCCCGGTACCAAGAATATTTGCTGTCTTCCCCTTTACTGAAAACATTTGCTGGCTTTCATCTGACGCTACTGTTCCCTTTCTGAGGGCTACTGTGGACCAGGCACAGGAAAGGGGCTTTCCTGAGGTCTCCGTGACTGTGACTTAGAAATGCTGCTCTGACTGCTTTTGTTTCTTTTCATACACCAAGATGTACCTGTCACCCACGAACTGCATTTCTGGAGTTCGCTAAGATTGAAGGCAAGAACCCAGATTTCCTGTGTTTTTGCTTCACGATGCTTCCTTCCCACATCCGTTTTTTTCCCTTCCTTCCCCATTACTTGAAGATTCTGTCTACGCATGCATATGGAGTTCTTCTGCCCCCGCCCCCCATTCTGGCATACTGTGGATGACACTGGTTGGGGGGCAGGGATAAGAGCTGGGCCCCGGTTGCCATGGATCCTTAACTGAGGGACAGGGGTGAGCCTCGCACAAACGGCTGCATAGTACCACTACCGCGGGGACTCTGGACCCCACAGGCATGCATTTGCCCCAGCCTTTCCCTGAGCCCCAAGCAGGCTCTCCCTTCTGCCCCCTTCCCACCTCCTTCCCCCAGAGCCAGGGTCTAGGGTGCCTCACCCAGTGCGTCATAGGCAGGCAGCACATCGAAGTCCACACTTTCATTGAGGTGTTGGGATTTCAGGGAGAAGCTAAGCACCCTGGGAGCTGTCCATTTGGAAATCTCAAACTTCACTTCAAACTGGTGCTGCTGCCGGCAAGCCTCCAGCTGCGTGCGGATTTCCTGGACGATTTCGCTCCGGTAGGTTTTTTGGGAGGGGAAGCTCTTCAGTGAGCTCAGGAACACGACGATGTCGGCATCTGAGCCGGTCTTCAGCGCTGTGCCCTTGGCGGTGGACCCCCCCTGGGCAGACAGGAAGCAGAGTCACAGTAACTCCCACTCGTCTATCCCCTGTCCAGAGTTCCCAGGGACTGTACCACAGGGGCTCATCCTCCAGACTCTGGGAACAGGTCCTGCCCAGGGCTCAGGTCGGGCACAAACTCACAGATCATGTGCCTCAAGGCAATTCACCTCATGTCCTTGTGACCCTAACAAGTCACTTGTAATCCACTTTCTAGCCTCCTTCTGTCCCCTTAGAAGCCATCTTTCTCTCAATAAATTCTTCCTACTCTTAACGTCCAGTGCTCCTAGAATTCACTCTTCCATTTTAAGGAACACAGTCTTGGCACCTTGGACCCCTACCAAATTGGGATTGATAAATTTCCCTTCTGTGATCTGGATTATTTGGTGGCCATTATATGTCATATGCCCTGTATCACAGAGAGAAGAGGAGAGAGACCCATAAAGGAGAAGGTGATTGAAATGCAGAGATAGAGACCAGAGAGAGGCTTCGTCATGGCCTACAGCACTACAGAAGGCCAGCAGCCCACGAAATGGGCCATTGGGGGCAGAGGTGGCCCACTAGAGCCCCACTGAAGACTGGAGTCCTCACCGCCATGGTTTCAGGCTCCCCTTCCTCCGGATACTGGGGTGACTGCCTGGCTCCCCTCTCATAGCGCCCTGGGGAGAAGGGGCATGCTCACCTTGATGATCCTTTGGACTTTGGTAGGTGAAGACTTAAAGCAAGTTTCTCTGAGGAATGAACAGATGATGTCGACAGCTTTCCTGATCTGACATAGGAAATCTTCATTGGGCTCGAGAAAGTCCTTGATGAACTTGTCCAGCTGATGGCCTGGGGTCATGAAGAGAGGCGCTGGCTAGAAGGACAGAGGGTGGAATTTAGCCTCCCTGGAAGCCCGGGCTTCCTCCCCACCTGCCCTGGGCCCTCTGCCGGCCTCTCTCTCCTGTTCCCCAGCACCGAGGCAGGTAGCTGCTCCAGCCTTAGTCCTTGCAGCAATAGAGGCTGAGAGCACCCTAAGTTTAGGATGGTACCCAGTAGTCCCCCAAAATGGAACTTCTAGTGCCTCTCTTTGCTGCCCAGAGGAGACCCGGATGCCACTCCTGGCAGACTTGCAAGGACCAGGGCTGGGGAGGTGGTCCTGGATTACCTAGATGGCCCTGGTGTCCCCTGGGCCAGGAGGCTTAGAGTGGGGGGAGTGACATGGGGTAGGGAGAGACCGGCTCACGCCAGCTCTGACTTGGAGTGGCGGATGGTGCTGTAAGCTAGGAGCTGTATGCAGCCGCAGGAGGCCGAAAAAGCAGAGCCAGGGGGCCGGGGCGATGGCTCAGTGGAATAAGCGCTTCCCTGGCAAGCGCAAGGGCCTGAGTTCAATCCCTGGTTCTGCCAAAAGAAAAAAG